ATGTCTCCTAGATCTTAATATTGTAATTTTAAAAATGTATAACTGATATTGTGTAACAGGAAGAAAAGGTCTAAAAGAGCAGGGGAATTGGGAGGGGTAGGGGAAGGGAAAAAGGGAAAGGAAAAAATATGAGAAGAGGAAAAAAACGGAAACAAGGTCTCTGCAAATAGGGAAGGGTGGAGGGGGTGAAGGGAGGGCAAGGGAAGGGGAAAAAAGTAAGAACCAAGAGATTCATGTAATGGTACAAGATCCCAATGATGAATATAACTGTATTGTATACCTAAAATGTACCAATAAAGTTAATGGGGGAAAAAAAAAAGAAGCATCTGTGGCCAGTCTCAATACTTGCCTATGTGACCCCCCCCCCCCAGTGTCCTGGGGAACTTGGCCACCATCTATAGCCAGGGGCCTTCTGGGCCACAAGGGAGGAAGAGCCACCTCTTTCACCTCCTGGTCTGTGCCCTTGCCTGGTGCTCCTGCATTTCTCTGGGAGCAGGGTCTTATGCTGGCTTTCTCAGCTTCCTGATGGCCACAAAGGCAAACTGGTCACACTCACTGCAGCTGGGTGGGAAGAAGAAAGCCATCTCCATGGGCCTGGGCAGAGTTACTAGGTGTAGGTGCTGGATCATTGGAATCTCAAGAAAAGCCTGCAGACCAAGCACCTCCTGACCAAAGAACTCAGCATCTGAGACTTTGGGCCAAGAGGATCCAAATGCTCTCCTGGCTCAGCTTCCAGGACCCAAAGAGCAAGAGGATCTGAAGTGGGGGTGGTGGGTTGGTACCCCATATTCTCCAGTGGGTAAACCCCTCTTCAGCCCTCACCAGGGCCTTTGAGAGCAAGGCAGGGGGTTGGGGCCTCACCCCCATGGACATCATCAGTAGTGATGTTCTCACTGTTACCTTGTCCTCATGGCATGCCCTCTTGTGCTTTGCAGCAAATGTCTTCTTTGGTCACAGAGCACATGGAGTCTCATGGCACCAGATTCCTGAGAGGCTGCACCCCCTCCCACATCAGGAAGCTCCCAGATGGTCAGCTCCAGGTCACCTGGAAGGATGGTATCTCTGGCAAAGAGGACACGGGCACTTTTGACACAGTCCTGTGGGCCATAGGTAAGGGTGCGGCAAGCCACACACATGCTATCTCCGGTCTCCTGGTGGAGCCCAGCAGAACTTGGTTCTCTTGGAACAGGACCCCCATCACCACCAGTTCTACTGGCTCCTTGACAGGTTGGCTGCCACCTGGTACACCTCAAGGGCTGTTGTGAAGGCCCATGGGGACAGTGCCCTCTTTTTTTTCCACTTCTATGTGATGTTCTAAAAGCACAGACCAGAGACCCAGATATTGTCAGCTGTATGTCATTAGGAAAGACTAGTGGGTCCTTCTGGCTTCCATGAACTTTGATAGATTGTTTGTTAAGATTTTGGTGTGTAGATCCTGTACATTTCCTTTGAATTTTTTTTTTTTTTTTTTTTGGTACTGGGGATTGAACTCTGGTCCTTGTGCTTGCGAGGCAGGCGGCAAAACCACTGAGCTAAATCCCTGGCCCTCCTATGAATTTTAAGACTTGATCTTTTTTTTCTTTAACAAATTAGATGTTATGCATTATAAATTCAAACAGTTTTTTTTTTTTTTTGAGACAGGCCTTCACTATGTAGTCCAGGTGGCCTTGAACTCACTGTGTAGTCCAGGTTGGGCTTGAATTCTTGGCGATCCTCCTGCTTCAGTCTCCTGAGTGCTGAGATTATAGGTGTGTGCCATGCCCAGCTTTAAACTAGTTTTGCTTTTTGGCAGTACTGGAGATTGAATGCAGGGGTTCTCTACCACTAAGCTATAGGTCCAGCCCTTTTTATTTTTTATTTTGAAACAAGTTCTCACCAAATTTCCTAGACTGGGCTAAGACTTGAGGTCCTCTTGCCTCAGCCTCCCTAGTAGCTGGGATTACAGACATGAACTACTATGCCCAGCAAGCTAGTTGTTTTTAAGAAAAAAATGATATACACTTTAAGTTTTTTAAATTGTGGTGACTTGTGTAACATATATAATAAAATATATATAACATAAAATTCACTTTTTGGAGGGAGGGAGTGGTGCTGGGACTGAACCTAAGGGCTTGCTGCTCCTAGGCAGGTGCCTTACCACTGAGCTATTCCCTATGCCCAGTTCACCATTTTAACTACTAGGTGTCCAGTACAGTGGCATTAAGTACATTTACATTGTACAACCGTCACTACCATCCATCTCCAACACTTTTCATCATCCTCAAACTGAAACACCATCCTCACTTAAATATGACTTCTCATTCCTCCTTCCTTTGGCTCCTGACAACTGCCATTCTATTTTCTATCTCTGTAAATTTGATGTCTCTTGGTACTTCATAGAAATGGAATCATATGGCATTTGTCATTTTGTTTCTGGCCTCTTTCTCTTAGCAAAGTGTCCTCAAGATTTTTCCATATTGTAGCCAGTGTCAGACTATCCCTTTTTAAGGCTGGGCAATTTTGTTTATCCATTCATCTGCTGATGGACACTTGGGTTGCTTCCACCTTTTGACTGTTGTGAATAGTGCTGTTTGAATGTGATTGTCCACAAAGTAGCTGTTTTTTTGGTGCCGGGGATCAGAACTTCAGACCTTGCGCTTGTGAGGCAGGCAGAGGAACCACTGAGCTAAATCCCCAGCCCTAGTAGCTGTTTTTAATAAAAAAGTGATACAAGAACTAAGGATGTGGCTCAGTGGTAGAGCACTTACCTAGCATGTATGAGGCCCTGTGTTTTATCCTCAGCACTGGGGAAAAAAAGACAGCATCTCTGTGCAGATATCCCTGCCCACCTGCACTCCAGCACCTAATAGTTTTGCCTTCTGGTTTTGCTAACTGCCCTGTGAACTTGCACATTGACAGTGGGAACGATTGAGATGTTGCTTCCTTCCCATACTTCTGGCTCTCTGAGGTCTTTGTCCTGAGCTTTCCCTGTGTCTCCCTGACATAAGTTGGAGTCGGAACCTGGGTTGCCCTCAGAAGCCTCACCTAGCTGCACCTCAATGAAGCATGTGCTTACCAAGTTGCCCAGGTAGGCTGTTCCATCAGCATTTGTCCAGACTGGACAGGCCTGACTGCCAGTATCCCCCAAGGTGAGAGTCCCAGAGGAACAAGGCTGAATCACAGAGCAATATACTTCTGAAAGAAAAAAAAAAACAAAACCCATACAGAAAAACACCTTTTTCTCCTGAGTTGCTCAGAATATATGGAAATCGGAATGAAGTCAAATCCCTGGACTCAGAAAGCAGTTTGGATGTGCAAGGTTCTGAAATGCCCCTGAGTGAATTTAGTGCCTCTGTACCCAAAGTTGACCAGTTACCAAAGAAAATGTTCTTGGTTGAACTGTCAAAATAAATTTTAAGTAAATTCATTAGGAACAGTATGAAAGATAAAGTAACATTTTGGACCCAGAAGTGTACAGATGTTTATTTTAAATTCCATTCTAAATGGAGAGGTGGCCTGTTTCTTCCTGTATAACTGCTCCCCAGTGCTTCCCCTTGTCCCTTGACTCTCCACACCCCACTGTGGGCACACACAGCCCTTGTCTCACCCATGGACTGAGGGGTGGGCTATGCAGCCAAATGCTATCGATGGTAGGGGCTCCGAGAGCTAGGGGCTGTGCCTTTGGAAAGCCCCAGGTTCTCTCAACTTCCAGGCATTCTGTAGCAGGGGACAAGGCCCCTGCCTGGCAGAGTTGCCAGTGTACACACACCCACACTCTCCTGCTGGGAGTCTGTTCTATTTTCTGTATTTCAAAAAGAGCATCCTGTAGACCGTCTGCCTGCCTTGATTGATGCTGGGGGTGGAAGCTTTTCGCAGCCCTTGGCCTTTGACCTTGCTTCCCGAGGGCTGTGGCGGCAGTGGTTTCTGGCACGCCTTCTGGGTGGGGGTGGGGGTGGTGCAGGCATGTGCTGACTTCGCTGCTCCCTCTGAGCCTCATTTTGTAAACATTCAGGAGCCACTTCCCAGTTGAACAACTGGGAAGGTTTTCTGCTGGTTTGTACTGATAAGCCTTTAATCAAGCATTATTTCTACTTGCAATAAAGGATGATCTGCTGCAGGAGGTTAAAATATAATGCCCTGATGGGGGACATGGCTGGCACCATTGACATCTCTTGGGATGGTGACTCTCATCTCAGACATTTAATGCTGAGTCTGAACAAGCTGCACTTTGAGCTCTGATGGGCATTTAAAAACAGAAAGGGAGAAGGGCTGGGGATTTAGCTCAGTGGCTCCACGCCTACCTCGCAAGTACAAGGTCCTGAGTTCGATCCCTGGTACAGGGGAAAAAAACAAAAGAGAAAAGAAAGGATGCCCTTCTTGCCACCATGGACACACAGAGAAGGAGCCTGCATCAGACTAGGCCACAAACCTGCCAGGCTGCCCATGTCCTACAACCAGTGAAGCCAGTGGACACTGGCATCATGAAGTGGGTGCCACAGCCTGGAAGCAGAGGGGCCTGAAGCCTCTTCCTCAGCCCAGCCTTGATCTCCACGTGGTGGATTAAACATATTAGCAGTTAAAGCAGTTAATTGCTGTGCAGGGGGCCCCCTCATTGTTTGTCTCTGAATCACCCGCCCACACCAGGTGTCTCAGATAATAGACTGGGAACTTCAGCAAGGAGGATTTCCTGTCTGCAGATGTGCCGATTACAGCGCTGAGTGAAGACAGTCAGCCTGCCCAGGCTGCCTCGGGCTTGGATTCACCAGCAAGTTAACTAGTTGTGTTCTGCATCCACCACTGTCGGGGACCCAGACCAGGATGGGTATTTCAGCAGACACCCTTAGCATAGACATGACTAAGTTCTAGTTGAGCTTAGATTTGGTTTTACAGAAGGGATTGAGTGCCTCTGGAGTGTAGCCTTGGAAAAATCCAAAGCTGAAACTGTCATGAGCCTCTTGGCATTCCAGGCCTCTCTAAATGATTCTCTGTGTCTGTCTTGGGAGCATGAGGTTGACTTTGGTGCATCAGTCCCAGGACCACACGAGTCCTAGAAGGGCCCCATGCGGAGGAAGGGCCTCACTGGGCCTATGAGGCCCACAGCCCTGACATCCACTGTTCTTGCCATTGTTCCTGCCATCCTGAGTGCTGGGGAGGCCAATGGGACCTGCCTGAGGAGCCTTCTTTGAGCACCTGGCGAGATCAGTTTTTACCCTCAGGCACTGAGGTCATTTCTTTTCCTCCAGGCTTTGTCTTAGAAAACTTGCTGTTTCTGCTAGCCTGTATGTTTAACCCACTTCTGAGCCTCTGAAACTGAGGGCAGCCAGTGAGCCCAGGTTCTTGGGCCCTGGAGCTTGGCTTCCCCACTTCCATCTGACCACCTTGTGGAGGCCACCAAATGAACCATTCCATGTACACTTTATCCCACACAGCATGTTCCCTGGCCCATGGGATACCCAAGGAGACCATGATGGGACCCTCAGTGCCCAGGAGCACACATTAGCTGCTGCTCCTGCTTCTTCTAGGACTGCTTGCTTGCATTTACATGGTGGTCTTCCTTGCTCAACTGTGTTCAAGCAGTGGCCCATGACAGGTGACTGGGCACTTGGACACTGGGGAGGAGCTGATGGGCATTATGAAGCATGGACACAGTCTGGTCTACAGAGCTGCCCTTCTGCCCAGGCCAAGCCCACTAGAGACCTTAGGTCCCTTCCCCAGGGGAACCTCACAGCTATAGGTGGGGTCTGGGGCTCATTGAGAAGCCATTCAAGCAAAAATGAAAGTGGAATAGGAGAGGAAGGGACTGGGTGCGTAATTCATTGGTAAAATGTGCATGCTTAGCACGTTTGAGGCCCTGGGTTTCATCTTTCCCCTCCTCCAAAAAAAAAAAACCTTAAAAATCTGGCTCCTGGGCCAGGGATTTAGCTCAGTGGTTTCGCCACCTGCTGCGCAAGTGCAAGGACCCGCGTTTGATCCCTGGTACCAAAAAAAAAAAAAAAAAATCTGTCTCCTAGCTACAAAGATATGAGCCCCTCTGTGCCTGGTCCCAAGTGTCATGCTGAAGTAGACAAGTAATAGACCCAGCCTCATGAGCATGGCTGGCACTAGGGGCCCCATACCCTTCGGGACAGTCA